TTTGATGATCTACTAATGTGTTGGTTCTTGACAAGCGATCTCCATTTGTTAATTTTAATTGCGTGCAATTGGATATTTCCTAATTTAAGGATTGGACTTTTAATGGATGCATAGCTAGTAAAATGAAGTTTGATCTTTGGATGGCTTGCAAAAGGATGATCTTGTCAAATATGTACATGGTGTCTCCTGTCTGTGTTTACATTCACAAAGACTTGGATTTGTCAAGATTTCATTTCACGCAGATCAGAGCTTAATTTAAGACCTTACTGTGAAAATGGACGAAATTATAGAAATCTAGACTTATCCAATTAACATGCATCAAGAGTTTCTATTTTCCATTTGTGTAGATCCAATGCTTCTAGGGAGAGAGAAGATAAAGTTAGAGGGAGAAACAAGTAGGAATAGAAGATCTTTGCCATGGAGGTTAAGAAGTGTAAGGGCCTGGTAGCTCATGGTGTGGGCCTTTGTGAGGGATTCTTCTTTCTTATACGAGTAAAATTACATTAGGTTGCATTTGTAGAAAAAACTATGAAAAGAAAAGGACATTGTGAGATGAATTGGAGAAAATGCATTCCCCAAAATCCATCCCAAAATCAATCATCATGGTTCAAAGGGTTGGTGGTGTTTGAAAAGGGGGTTAGACATAGGTTTAAATTAGTGATAGGTTTGGGCTAAAATCAAAAAACATTTTCACTTCCCCCCCCCCCTCCCCCTTTTTTCTCCTACAGGCCTTTAGGTTAAAAATTTCTAGGGCAACAGGCATTGAATTCCGTGGTTTTCCTGAACTTTGGTGTGATTGTTGTAGCAGATTTGAGGTGGATGATGTGCAGCATGGGCTTTCTGCAGTGAACGAGATTTTGCTGATCTTAATATAAATGCCTAAGTAAACTGTCGATGAAAAAAATATGGATGTTTCTATTGAGTGTTGGATGCTGCACTTGACTGGGATTAATCTTATGCAGTAATGGATATACCTTAAAGCTTTGAGAAGGAACTGAAACAAGTTCTTCAAAGCTGTGGGGAAAGGTGGGGAACGTATGGAGGTGTATGATTTATAGTGAGGTAAGGCGAGTATTTGGCTCCAAATATGATAGGGCAAGGTTCCTTCCTTCCTCCTATCCAATGACACCTTGGAAGTGCTGTGTGGTTAACATTGACCGAATTGATGAATTCCTTGTCTAACAGAGTATGCTACTTACAAGTTTTGCAAAAAGTTGAAAATTTGAAGAAATTGAGATCAGGCGTGGGCTATGAAGCATGGATACTTCGTTGAGGTTGATGTATTTGTATCCGATACCGTATCGGATACGATACTCNGTATGCTACTTACAAGTTTTGCAAAAAGTTGAAAATTTGAAGAAATTGAGATCAGGCTTGGGCTATGAAGCATGGATACTTCGTTGAGGTTGATGTATCTGTATCCGATACCGTATCGGATACGATACTCATCGGATACTCGAGGATACACCTTCTAAGTATCCGATAATAATTAAATATTGTGATACTTCACAGACGCTTTTGTGGTCAAGTAACATATTTTTTGAGTTAAACTTTTAATATCTCTTTTCGAATTCACATACCATACAATACATTAACAAAAAATTCATATTACTTCAAAGGCACGTGAGTGTTTCTTAAGTATTATCTACAATTACATTTCAAAAGAGCGTAAAATAAAGTTATTACATTATTATCTTAACAAAAATTATTTCTAAATATTAGGTAAATATTAGNGTTAAACTTTTAATATCTCTTTTCGAATTCACATACCATACAATACATTAACAAAAAATTCATATTACTTCAAAGGCACATGAGTGTTTCTTAAGTATTATCTACAATTACATTTCAAAAGAGCGTAAAATAAAGTTATTACATTATTATCTTAACAAAAATTACTTCTAAATATTAGGTAAATATTAATTTTGATTATTTTAATTAGTCATTTCACTTTGTGAATATATTACAACGAAACGATATATATTTTCTTGAAATAAAAAAAAATTACTAATTTTTCTTTTTGTATATTAAAAAACTACCAAAATATACAATTATTAAGTTGGGTGAAAATAATAAAAATATTAAATATATTTTATTATAGATGTATTTTGGCCATATCCGTATTTTATTTTTTTAGATTTTGTCATANTCACTTTGTGAATATATTACAACGAAACGATATATATTTTCTTGAAATAAAAAAAAAATTACTAATTTTTCTTATTGTATATTAAAAAACTACCAAAATATACAATTATTAAGTTGGGTGAAAATAATAAAAATATTTTATTATAGATGTATTTTGGCCATATCCGTACCTTATTTTTTTAGATTTTGTCGTATTGTCGTATCTGTATTGTATCATGCTCGTATTTTGTATCCATATCCATGTTTTATAGGGCATGGGATGTGGAAGACATTAATGGAGGACTTGAATTCTCTACTCTTGGTAGACTGATGAACTAATGTGCTGCCTGGCAAGGTTCAGCTGTTTGTTCAGACTTAGGGGTGCAAAAACAGCTTTAGAACATGATACTTGTTCAGAGAGTGGATAAAGTTGATCCCTTATTGTTTGAGTGGTTCTGATTTTTTTCATACTTCTGTCGCGACACTATTTGTTATGAGAGGATATCTATTCGATGTTTTGATTGTGAGATGTACCTATTCAAGTCTGATATAGTACTGGGGATTGCAGGTACACCACAACATGTCGATAAAACCAACAGTTGCATTGAGGGCTATACTAGTCGGAGGTGTAGCTGCATTTGCGAAAATTGCTGGTGCAGTGAAAGCTGCAGGTGGTGCAAAGGTGGGTGCAGCAGCAGCTGCCATGACAGCTGCCGCAAGCGCAGCTGTGTCTGGATCAAAACAGGAAACAAAAGATGCTTCCAAACAGTCAGCCAAGTGACAATTGTGGTTATGCAGCGACTTAATAACATGAGCATGCTCCAGAATTAGTAAGTTCCTAGTGTGCTTGTTGAGAGACTTGGGCCACACTGAATTGTGCTTGCCTGAGATAGAATGCGTTAGCAATTGGAATTAACTTTTTAGCTAGTGGGAGTCTTTTATCAATTGGTCTCCCAAGTTACCTGAACTTTAGCGAGGTGGGCAAAGGAATAACAGAAGCTACCGGGACTGTATTGTATTGACAAATGTATACTAGAGAATAATGTGCTGGATGTATTTGAATTTTTGGTATCACTTTCAGGCTTCTTATCACTAATTAGGGGTGTTCAATTTTCCACTTACCCGACATATTCTGATCTGATCCGACACGATTGATCGGCTTTTGCAAACTATCAGCCGGCTAATGGAAGAATTTTTTATATTTCGCAAAATATCGGATAGGATTACAGAATATCCACAAAAATTCCTTCCTTCTATCATGAATTTTTCATTTAATATATGTGTTTGTTTTATTGTAATTGTTTATATAAGATATTTTAGACTTTTAGAGAACATATTGTAGGATTTAGTGTGTTGGTTTATATATTATTATATTATATTTTAACAGTATAATTGTAAAAGAAGTTCAAAAATTATTTAATTGAGTTGTTAAAATGATTTAAAATTTAATAATTAAAAATTTATAAATATGTGATGTATTCTGCAATTCTACCCAAATTCTGAGCTGATTGTTTTGGACAAAATTCGGCCGGAACATTACCCCCAATAGGACAGAATCAATCAAAAAATTGACCTTCTGCAAAACATCCGGTAAAAAANAATTTAATAATTAAAAATTTATAAATATGTGATGTATTCTGCAATTCTACCCAAATTATGAGCTGATTGTTTTGGACAAAATTCGGCCGGAACATTACCCCCAATAGGATAGAATCAATCAAACAATTGACCTTCTGCAAAACATCCGGTAAAAATATAAAATATCATAATTTTTATACGGAGGATCAAATGAACACCCCTACCAACAATTACCCGTCAGAGCAAATTCTTTTAACCTGTCATCAATTTGCCCGCAGGTCAGGACAAATTGATGCCGTGCATAACCAGAACAAAGAAGCTTGAATTTGCATTGATGTATGATAAAGCAGAAAAATAGCAATCTTGAGTATGCCTCTATTTATCTTGTTTCCTAGTGAACGACAATATGAAAGTGGTACTATGCAGAAACACTCGTTAGAGACATTGTTTGTTCAGTCAAATGACCATCCCAGAAGCCACTNATTGATGTATGATAAAGCAGAAAAATAGCAATCTTGAGTATGCCTCTATTTATCTTGTTTCCTAGTGAACGACAATATGAAAGTGGTAATATGCAGGAACACTCGTTAGAGACATTGTTTGTTCAGTCAAATGACCATCCCAGAAGTTGATAGGCTTCTTGTGCTTTGTGTATCCTAAGTTTAAAGGCTACTCATTGGTATCGTTGGTGGTATATGATCTCCAGTAACATTTAAATGGCAAATGCAAAGTTTCCTTAGAAAGTTAACATTTCATCTGCAGCCATGTGAGTTTCTTAAGCTTATGAATCCAATGCTATTTTCCCCCAGGGGCAACAAATTTATCCATGTTACGAAAAAAGGGGAAAAGGGGGACAAGTGGTACCAAACAAATGGACATTAAGGTAATTACTCAACCGTCAAATATTGCAACACATTGGCCCTTCTAACTCGGTGGTAGAGTAACGCCACGGTAAGGCATAAGTCATCATGAAGTGGATGGTTTCTCTAGAAACAATTCAACCAAGTGAGTCCCACCATAATTTACACGATAATTCTTGTGATTCTAAATGTTGTAAGATCAATGATATGCAGCTCTCCCCTTTTTAGAGGATCCTTTTCTAAAGTTAACTCCTTTACACAGTTGTGCCCTCCACAAGATGCCCAATGTTATAACAAACACGGCTGTATGAAATCATGCATGACGAAATTGAAGAAGGTTCTGATGATGACACTTACGCTGATACAGGCTCTAGCAAGATAAGTCGTGCCTATTCCATGTTGTCATGCATCGCCAAGAGGTTAGACAACTTTGCATCAGAGCTGATGTATTCTTAAACTTTTTGAACCACACGTAAACTCTGGCTGGGCAACTGAGCGCACTAAAAGCTTAGGGTTTGGAGATTCTAACTCAAGTATCACCTGAATAGAGTAGTTCACATCATCATTTTAGAAATCGTGTGTAACCTAGAAATTTTGTGAGTATAAAATTAAGATACAAAAAGAAAAGAGTTATTTAAGATCATAGATTTGTTGCTGTTAGCTTTTCTTAACTATTTTTGCTTCATCATCACTGCAAAGACTATTAAACAAGAGAACTAAGGCAAAGCTGGTGATATACTCTTTCAAGCAACTCAGCTTATACAAGTGTCCCCGGCAAATAGAAACAGGAAATCAATAATCGATGGTCTCATCACCGGTTATGAAAGTAATTCAAAAGAACACAGACAAATAAGTAGAAATCGCTCTGTTGTGTACATGTTTCTATGGTTCACCTACTGTTTCATTTAAAAAAGGTGCACCAGATTATCAGACTTAGAACATGAAAGTTATGAATTTACTGGAATGGTAGGTATTTATAACGTCTAGTATTTCATACCAAATCATTTTTCCCACGTCGAAGGATTGGAGCAGGAACATAAAGGTTGCACTGTGGTCCGAAGGACTGCAAAAGAGCCAATAAATGAATGTTTTCAGTACTTCTTGTTGGAAGAATTAACAAAAAAGCAGAAATCACAAGCCAAATGAGGATATTGGAAGTTCTATTTTACCGGCCAAAATCTTCCTACATTATATTTGTTGACAAAAGCAATCCCTTTACCCCAGCCATTAAATGACATGAACGTATCCTTAATTTTGTCCACAACAAAATGACCAGCATAAAAAGCTGGTACTTTCGGGGAATAATCTGCAAAAGAAAGCAAATGGAGATTAATCCTCTGTTTTTCTCTCCATTGCTATTGATCTCCTCAATGTGACTCTAGGACATGCACCATAAATCAGTACCTTCTACTTAAAGTATGGAATCAGAACATACCTACGTTATCTTTCAACTTTTTCCGGGCAGATACTTTAATGGAATAGGAATATGTATCCAGAATGATGGGATAAATTTTCTGGACTTCGTTTTGGTTGTGTAAAGGAATTGAGAGCATTTTCCACTCACGCAGAGGCTTTCCATCAACATAAACAGAAGATAAAATACCCTGTAAACAAGAGCAACCAACGAATTAACCACCATTTTCTAAGTTTTTTAAGTGAAAGGAAAAAAAATTATGGGGAGTGGGTCACAGGGCGGGGCAAAAGTGGGAGGACGAAGGTGGGTAGAAGGGGAAGAATGATGATAAGAGCAAAATGCTAACAACAGTTACGAATAGTATTATGATGACTAAATTCAAGAATTGGTGGGGGTACTTATCTATCATCCTCACATATAAACTAAGTAAACTTTGATACAGAAGCATGACCTTGACAAATTGTTGATCTAACAATTTAATCCATGGTTTTAATAGTCAAATGACAGGAGGAAAAATGGGAAACAAGGTGACGTGCATCACATAACTTCCTTCTGCTTTTATTTACTTAATTTTTTAGCGAAAAACATTTTTAAAGTGAATCTAGCCACTGGCAGTGCTGGAAATTCAATTTGAGAAGAAAAAGGAAAACAAATAGGGAGCTAGGGACAAGCAGTGGATATGTGACTATAATTTGAGTAACTGTTTGCCCATGAAATGTGGCTAGGGTCATTCTTCGATTAACAGAACATATAACTAGCATTTGAGCAAAAAAATGTTACTACAAGTTAATTGTTCACAATTTCACATCTTATAAATGGCAACACGAAATCAAAAAAGAAGGCACAAAAATTATCAGATAAAATAGTCACTAAAAGCCTAGGATGTGAAACAATTGGAGCATGTGGGTTCCATAAACAAACCCATCTTATCTCATTCTTCACTTGCATGGTGTAAATTTATATTGGATTTTTATGCTTGCAAAATGCAGAATTGTAGAAATTTTCTTGGTTTTCTTGACTTCATTCTACAAGTTTATCACGGTAGTATTAAATTTTTTAAGTAAAATGTTATGATTACCTGCTACAAAGGATAGTTGTGGTGTAAATCTTTTATCAGGGATAGCTTAAAAGGGTTATGCAACAATGCAAAAGGCAGGTTAAAAGAGTTTTAGGATAAGAAAGCATCATGCCATCAGAGACTCCTGAAATTCTCTAGAGGTAATACTACCATTATAATTATAGAACAAGGACACGGAATACATGATGCCTTAAACAAGCAATGCGGACGCCAAAATTTTACAAAACCACCATGCATGACACAGCATGAACCTTAACCAGAATCATTTGACTGCAAATACCATAATGTGCAAAATCATGTGAAAAAAAATTATCCATTGGAAGTTAAATGCATCAATAAATCACCACAATACTCAGAAAATCATATACCAAGAAACAATAAACGCAAGCACAAGGCAATAGTTTTAGGAATTTCACCTTTCTATCAAACATATAAGGTCCATAGTTCACACGACCCATGTTTTCAACCTATAACAATTGCAAGAAGAACACAACAGAAATAAGAACAAGACGAAAAAAAGCATGTACGAACCAAGATAAAAAGTTATGCTAAAAGATAGGTAACCTTCAGAGTAAGCAAATAATGAAGATGATTCTAACGACTTCAATCCAAATACAGCTTTCTTTTAGAACGAAAAATATTGATCACTTTCAAAGCTAAAGACTAAGCATGAGCTATCTTAAGAGTTCAGATTAACAACAGTAAAATTCCAGTTAAACAATAGAAAAGCTTGGATCACAAGGCCATGCACTATACATCAAAAACCAAATCCAATGGTACAAAAGTCTGTTTCATTTGCAGTCCACTTATCCACCTGCCATACCAAAACTAGAAGTGGAATATAAACCAACAGCTAGGTATATTCATCGACTTTTGTAGACACATTTCATCTTGAGAGAATCAAATGAAGTCCAAAATTTCACTTGTAATCTGACCTACGAACTGACAAAGTTCACATACTACCTTGTTGAAATATCAATTCCCAGATGCAATAGTGGAGACATGTGAAATAAATAAACAATTCTACACTTCAAAACTTTGTGTCTAACTTGGGCATAAAAGATATTTAGAATGATACTAACCAATGGTTATTACAGAAGTGTAACAAGACCCCTGCCTAGCGATAGGCCAAAGATATTAAAATAGAATAAAATCAAAGATCCTATCCTAGCTTTGTCAAATTGCTAAAGAAATAAAAAGTATAAAACTAAAGGAAACATAGAGAAAAGAAGAAGACCAAATTGTACATCATGTGGTTGAGAATCCCTAGTGTTCTACTGCACTAGCACTTCAAATATCTATCTGAATGTATATCTGATCATTGCTTAACGCATNACATAGAGAAAAGAAGAAGACCAAATTGTACATCATGTGGTTGAGAATCCCTAGTGTCTACTGCACTAGCACTTCAAATATCTATCTGAATGTATATCTGATCATTGCTTAACGCATTTTTGAAAGGCAAAGGTGGTATTCCCTTACCAAAACTAATAATCTAATGTTGGAGACACATTTAATATAAGGGAGGTGAATGGGCTTATTCAGCCATCTTCCAATTGTGCCAACATATCTTGGTCTACCTCCATTATCTTCAGAAAGGCATGACATGAATACTTGAGCTCGGTCATGCACCTGCAGCAGAAGATATTCAGGGATATAATATCCTCTTAGACGTCTTACCATAAATTTGCATAAACATTTAGGAAATGATGAAAATCCTTGAGAAACTAGCATTGATTGAGATATAACATATAACTGCAAAACAAAAAAAAAAAAGGATTCTCTCGAGGTAAAAAGGACAAAAAAAATATTCCTTGTGAAACGGGCAAAATGTACTAGATCTAACACAAAGCAGACATTACTGCTTTCCTTCTCAGTCAGATTATTGTCACTGGATATCTCTGATGCCTGGCATGTGTAATTGCATGGAATCACAGTTTTGTTTTCCTATGATAAATGATGTAACCAAATTAAAGGTCCAGTCCCCTGCGACTGAACTAAGAAGTCCAGCATTCCTTCCCCAAAGTGAGGGCACCTCCCCGCACCCGGATCCCGGATGAAGGGAGTCAGTCACTCTGCACTAACTATTACCCTTCTGTTTCTTGGAAGTTAAAGTCCCCAGATGAACTGATATTTGCAAAACTGGTATTAGCACATAAAAGGTGTCAGACATTTTAGTGACTCATGTTTACAAGCACACGAATAAAACAAAGGTCATTTAGAGGCTTGAGAAAGAATGTGATAGATCCAAAACAATGACTCTTCTACTGGTCTCTACTCTCTAGCATCCAAAATTGTTGGGAAAACAGTAAGAAAGAAAAGATTTTATCCTGCCTGAAGTTTTTTTACCTTCTCTAGGTCACAAGAACTAGGCAACTAACAACTATGCCTAGTTGATATTGTCATCTACAGGGCGCAGGTTCACTCCTGGGCATGTGCATCACCAGGGGGAACCATGACAAGCATTGCTTATGCAAATGGAACAGCACATTTTATATACTCTAAATATATATTCTTCAAAGAATTTGAAGCTGCAAAGAAATATTATCTAAACCAGTCCAGTACAAACATCTAAAAAAATAAATAAATAAATAAACCAGTCCAGTACTATAAACAGATATAACAAAGGTCTTACCTTTGGAATGGACAGAACACTTCCATTGCCTTTCGCAGTGTATTCCGATACGTACAGCAGAAACCCAAACATCTGAACATGAAAGACATTCAAGTGGAACAGAATATCTCTTTGAAGTCAGAATATCTGGAAGAACCAGAAACAATACTATTTTAAACAAAAGGAGTATAATAGTCATTCTTCATAAACAATACTATTTTAAACAAAAGAAGTATACTAGTCATGTACCTGGCCTACAGACTCCATTGATGCCGGATTTTCAGATTCAACTTTGCCAACAAGGTTTTTATTACCAAGTATATCGAACAAAAATGTAGTTTTCTGTAACTGGATACGTCCATATTCTGCCTTCTCATTATTTGAAGGGACTGAAGGGAGAGGTGCTGCACTATACTTTTGTATAACTCTGCGCAGAGCTGAAAGCAACATCAAATTAAAAAATAGACCGACTTTCTAGGAACCTAATTAGAACTTACAAGTAAAATTTTGAGAAACAATTATCAGAAATAAATCTCATGAGTGTAAGAAAATATATTCTGTAGAACTGCATCACAAAATGTGAGTAAATTGTTTTTCATAATTTTTTTCAATTGCTGCAGGTGTGTTAATGGTTGGTATACCACAAACATTCTTTTATCTAAGCATGGATAGGAAATACACTACAAAATACAGTGGACAGCAACATTCTGTTCTGCATGCACATTTTGTGGGGATCAAGGTTTAACCCATTTTGATTAGGTGGCCAGTGGGCCTCTGAAATTCAGTTTTGTGCTTAAGCACAGCATAATGTGACAAAATTTTGGCAGCCTTAATGTTGAAAATATACTTGAACGCCATATAGGATTTCACTGACTATACTGCTTGCCAAATCTACAAAGCCACTACAGCTGCATAATTGCAGTCCATCCTTAGTATTAGGCCAAACACAAGTAGTATTCGAGAGAATATTCCTAACACTGTCCTCTCAACCACAAGTAACGTGTCTTTCGATTTCTTCTCAATGACCTTGCAATCAGAAGAAAAAGCATACAAAAAACCTCTAATCGAATGAACTTCCCCATTAGATAAGATACAGACGTTCCTAACAACCCTTAATCATCAGGTCCACCACAACACAACATCATATATGCACCCCAAGTCATGCTAAAAAATGAAGAGTAGATAATCAAGCTGAGATCGTGTAAGAGTATCCACTAACTAGATTTGCTTATCGAACCTCAACTTAACAAAGCCTTGTCCCAATTTTTTTGGGGTCAGTTAGATTTGCTTATCAAATCTAGCATATAAAATTTTATAATTTGCAGCCCTCATTCCAACATTTGCTGATTTCCGCACTCTATAAGATCCATTTTACCAATTCTTTGGATGGGTGTGCAGCCCACATTTCACACATTTGTTTGATGTAAACAGCACTTTTTGCAGTTGTGCAAGGAATTCAATCTAGAATTGTTGCAAACAGTAATTAGTGGCCACCCCACTACCTTTATACAAAAGACATGTTATCATTCTACACCATTTAACATGGAAAAAGGCATAAAGGTGAAAATTTCAACTATACCTTTGAACTTATCATTGTCTACATCACCAGATTCTCTGATAGGTGCATCCTAGAAAACAAAAAGGTGTCAGNTTCTACACCATTTAACATGGAAAAAGGCATAAAGGTGAAAATTTCAACTATACCTTTAAACTTATCATTGTCTACATCACCAGATTCTCTGATAGGTGCATCCTAGAAAACAAAAAGGTGTCAGTTTGATAGGAATGATGAATCCAATTACGTTTCTAGGCATTAGTTATTCCGTAAGAAGTTAAATAAACATGAAAATCTTCCTCACATAATCATAGGATGTAAGATCAGGCTTGTAGTCAGATTCATTAACACCAGTGTTTGCACCACTATAAAATCCGAAGTTTGTTCCACCATGCGCCATCTAGAAATTAGAAAAATTATGCATCATGATAATAACAGGTAAATGGCCACTTGCAAGCGGAAAAGGTTGGACATAAGAACTTACATAAAGCACAGCAGACCCATTCCTTGACAAGATTTTTTCCAGGGATGCTGCTGTAAAAGCAGCATCAGTGCTTGCAATATTTTCTCCCCAGTGCGTAAGCCAGCCAGTATAAAACTCCCTAAAATAATACAAACTAAGAGCACCATTCATATGCATTGATAAAAAAAAAAATTAAATTTAAAATGAAATACTGACGTAGAAAGAGGTGGTGATCTGCCTGGTGCATTGAACTCTTTTTGCAACTTAAATATAGGCCATGGATCATCTCCAGTCGTGAAGTCAACGGCTAGAAATAAGCAATCAATTAAAAAATGGTCAGCGCAGTATACAAATATGGCTGTCAATGAGAACAACATATAACACATAAATTGCTCCAAGCCTAAACTTCTGTTATATCACCAACACACTTAAGTTTACACAACCATATTTGGCATCATGTATGTTTATTTAAGTTCTTCCAAGAAGGGAATTAAAGAGGTCATTCGACTTGTTCGCAAGAAAATCTACTACTTACAACAAGAATCTTTACTTAAATTTCGCATTGCCCCCATCTTATAAATAGAAAGAGCATGGTATATTTGGTGATCTTTATAGTAGATGATACACAGTTTATTAGCTTCGATCGAGAACTCTTGGCATTTAGGAAGACAGCAATAAACCATAGGTTCGGGTGGTTACTTATACTGCTGTATTCGTGACATGAAAACAACTCCAATAAATGGGGCAAGAGCATTTCATGAGCTTATAAAAGAATAAGACCCGATCACCTTAGGAAATTAACTAGGCCAAGGAATATCCTGATGCCCAATCATACAATGTTAGTCCGGACCATTTAAATTTCTGTTAACAGAAAAAATAAAAAATAAAAACCCGCTAGAAATCATATATTACTAGATGAATGTTTTACATAGAAATGGAACTCTGCATGCAACTAGGCACCAATGAAAAAGCATGCACTTAATCCCTAGAATGGTAGTTGATTTTAAAAACAAGCAACTCTTTTTAAGATGCTATGAATTTCTCTTTATTTTTTAGCTTCTCATTCATTTAACAACTTTCCTTTCACATACATAGATCTTAACAACACCATTCATGCACTTGCACGTAATACACAAAATCATAAATGAGTGCTTGTAGGTATGTACACATTTTAGACGGCATCTTCGCATAGCAGATATCTAAAACAACTGGCAACCAATCTGATAATTTGCTAATCTTAATAGCATTTTGTGGCCGCATTTAGCACAAACCAGTCAGATACCCAACTTTTAAGGCTATTAACCGATTACCTATACATTAGCACGGGGTGATAGAGGGGGGAAGGCAACAAAAGTGGTCTAGTCAAGACTGCCATTGGATTGCTTCTTTTCCCATGTATTTATGGGAATTTTACTTGATTCGATAAGTGTAGTAATCCATTCAACATAACCTTAAAAATAAGTGTTTCTTATGGACAGGAAAAAAAAGTACACAAACCATAATGATGTCCAACTTTCAGACGCATCATGTACATGGGGGGAGCATGCAAAACAATGCTTATTTTGGGAACTTTAACATAAGTTTGTTTTCAAGTTCCAGACCACAAACAAAAGAATTGCATAATTTTAACATCTTATAAAAACTAATCCAATAGTCATGCAGACAACTTTGGATAATTTCTATCAAAAAAAACAAAGGAAAGAGAATTGTGGATAAGAGCAAAGAAGATATGATGAGAAGCATTGATTTTTATGCAGGCTGAAAGAACTAAAGAGCTGATAGAAAGGATTACAAAGGAATCATCATACTTTAGAAGAAGATAAACTGCTTTAACCGAAGACTAGGCAGTTATGCCAGAATAGAATGAGCCATACTCACTCCAAATAGTGAAGGTAAGTAGGTAAGTAGGTAACTAGTCACTAGGAGCGACATATGTACAAAGCAGTCAATTATTTGCCTATATGGATACATTTAAAAATTTTAACATGCACAGTAGCTTNGTTATGCCAGAATAGAATGAGCCATACTCACTCCAAATAGTGAAGGTAAGTAGGTAACTAGTCACTAGGAGCGATATATGTACAAAGCAGTCAATTATTTGCCTATATGGATACATTCAAAAATTTTAACATGCACAGTAGCTTAACAGATAATAAGATAGCACCAATCATGATCAGTGCACCCAGTGCTAAGCAAATATCGCCATCTTTTCCAAGTCCAGGATTTTGACATTTAGCCTTCTTTACCTGAAAAGACAGCATCTCCACGAATAGTTCCTTTCTCAAGAGTTTCTCTGGAACCTCCATCTGTAGTGTAACTGCAAACTAACCCAACTTGGTTAACATTGTTGATAATTAAAAAAACTGCAGTATCTCACCACTTTATTCTAAATTTCAACTCAATCAATGTCGCAGGAACGTCTGTCCAGTAAATCACGAAGCACAAAGAATTGTCTTAGCTAAGTCCATTTTTGGTCAAATCTTACATGGATTTTTAAATTTTATATGCATATCGATATTTTTAGACAGTATAAAACATGACAGTGAAAATAGAAGAGTTAACTATATAGATGACCCTTAACTATGTAGTTTGTGTTTGTGTCAATTAAGTCCTGAACTAATATTTGTGTCAATAGTCCCTCAACTATACAGTCTGACTGAATGTCACCCTTTGGTCCATAAACATGAAGTGCACGTGAGACAGTTTGTTAAAGTAAACAAAAAATTTAGATGGAATCAGATTGCATCAAATTTAGATGGAATGGCCATATTGAATCATATTGCATAGCCGAGAGACTAAATTGACACAAAAATTAGTTTAGAGACTTAATTGACACAGATGACATAATTTAGGAGTCATATGTGTAGTTTACTAAAAGTAGAATGTCTCAATCATAACTCTTCAACAAATCTCATAACTCAAATCACACATCAATAATCCACAAATACATACAGCAATGAAAACGAAAAAATGAAGTAAAATAAAAGAGAAAAAGGATTCCACTCAATTCAATGCGCGAGCAGGTGAGCCACAATGTTTCAAAATGAAATTGTCCAATGTTATGACCTTTTTCCTCGGCACTGTCAAATTTTCTAAATACAAAAATCACTTACAGAATTATATTATCTCCAAGGTGTTGTCGGGCTAATGCAACCAGATGATGCAAATAAGCTTTATCATCTCCATATGAACCAAATTCATTTTCAATCTGTCATAATAATCTCCAGTTATAGGAATATCACTAAAGTTCAAAACTGAGGGTATATAAAATCAGACCATAAGATGGCCAACTATACAAGTTAACTCAAGATAACATTTTTTAATGTAAAATGCCACTTATTAACCTATGATATTATGAAGTTCACAAAATAAGAGACTAAGTTTTTTAAATTAAATGAACCCACCTGGACCATAATAACAGGGCCTCCATTGTTGTAAAGAAGAGGAGCCACCTTGGGAAGTAAAATTCCCCACCATCTTTCAACCTGTTTAACAGTTCACTACAGAGTATAATTCAAACCTTGGCTTTTAATAATTGAACAAAGACAACTGCACAATCATTTTTGCACGAAAACATGCTTCACTTTTTCTTGTTTTCCCCTCTTCTTTTCTTTCTTGATTGTAATCAAGATTGAGTTTCAATTGGAAAATTTTCTTTCTTTTCAAAACAAGAACAACGAAGAATTGAGATACTAATTTTTCCTCAGTAAGCATCAAACACTAACAAGTTTTTCACAAAGTGCAGTTCAATCTGCAAGATGAACAACATTTCCTTTATATTCAAAATGTAACAAAGTGCATCCAACATTTGAAGTAAGAAAACGGAACTGAGAATTCTCTTAGAAGGAATTAAGCAGTAGCACATGTGTTCCTTTTGGTTGCAGAAACGTTCTTAATTTATCATTTGCTGTCATTATTTGCTTCAATTACTGAAGAGAGACAAACAATCGGTATTCACATAACAGCATGATGGGTAGCAGGATGCATCATCAATAGCGAAAATAGAATTATAGATCAAGTGCACCAAGTTTTACCTTGAAATGGCAATTTTATATAAACAACCATGCGCAAAACAATTGAAACTGAAAACTCAATTATGTGGCAAGATCAGGTTATTAGAATGCTACATACAACAAGAAATTGTATGGAAACAAAGGTGGGCCCATTTTTCCGGGGAAAAAGAAAATGATGGCAAATGGAAGAGGAATCTACTGTGTCCTTCATCAATAGTAACTAAAAACTCCTTCCTAGATAATTTAAACGGCACCCTTGAAGAAAAAACTAAAAAAAAATTCTTACACCATCAGTATTGCAGGAGATCCCAGAGTTAACAATATACACCAAGAGACATACCAAGTTAAAGAAGGCAGGGTCCGATGATCGTATTCTGACAGCTGGCTCTATAGCAAGTAACCAAGCAGGGAAACCGCCCAAATCCCACTCTGCAAAAAAGAAACAAAATCAGTGGGAACAATATTAATAAAAGTTTACAGACAAACATGAATATCAATGCATTTATGGTCTTTTAGCTCATGTGGTCTTTCTAATGGCATACGAAAAAGCAAAGGCTCAAAAAGCTTGCTAAGGTCTNGGGGGGGGGGGGGGGGGGGGGGGGGGGGGGGGGGGGGGGGGGGGGGGGGGGGGGGGGGGGGGGGGGGGGGGGGGGGGGGGGGGGGGGGGGGGGGGGGGGGGGGGGGGGGGGGGGGGGGGGGGGGGGGGGGGGGGGGGGGGGGGGGGGGGGGGGGGGGGGGGGGGGGGGGGGGGGGGGGGGGGGGGGGGGGGGGGGGGGGGGGGGGGGGGGGGGGGGGGGGGGGGGGGGGGGGGGGGGGGGGGGGGGGGGGGGGGGGGGGGGGGGGGGGGGGGGGGGGGGGGGGGGGGGGGGGGGGGGGGGGGGGGGGGGGGGGGGGGGGGGGGGGGGGGGGGGGGGGGGGGGGGGGGGGGGGGGGGGGGGGGGGGGGGGGGGGGGGGGGGGGGGGGGGGGGGGGGGGGGGGGGGGGGGGGGGGGGGGGGGGGGGGGGGGGGGGGGGGGGGGGGGGGGGGGGGGGGGGGGGGGGGGGGGGGGGGGGGGGGGGGGGGGGGGGGGGGGGGGGGGGGGGGGGGGGGGGGGGGGGGGGGGGGGGGGGGGGGGGGGGGGGGGGGGGGGGGGGGGGGGGGGGGGGGGAAAGAAGGAAAGACAGAAAACCTTATTGTAGATCTTCGTTAATGAGGTCAAGAACAAGGAAAGGTCTTTAGATGTTTTTGACACCCAATCCAATGTTGATATTTGACACATCTAGAAATGCCTGTGTAACAGGCGCAAAATTTAAGGAGCTAAAGAGAAACACAATGCCAAAAAAGGCAAGAACAAAAGAAAGGGAAGATTCTGATTTCGAAAGGCTTTTAAGTTTTAACCAACTGGAATAGCATTGCAATTGTCAGAGATAGCTATCATAATAATGAAGGCACCAACAATTACACCTCAACTTTATTCTAAACAAAACTATTTCCTGAAACAATTCTCCTAACAAGATATGCATAGAGTTGACAAAAGAAAGTCTGAGTGCCACATTCCTAGGAAATCTCCAGCATTCTCAGCATTAGATTGAAAGACAAAGTCCCAAAAACTCTTTGGATCTGTTGGTTACTGAGTATCCCTACCTATTATTTACTTAAATTATCTGACACAGAGAATAAATAGGGACACTCATCCATCAGCAGATCAGGAGTTGTTGAGTTAATGACAAATGAAACTCGAACAAACCTAGAAATTTCACAGAAAAGACTACAACAAAGTTTTAAATTTCCTAATCCAGACAGTAGAGGCCAACCTGCACATATATAAGGCCCAGCTCGAAGCATTACCAGAAGATCCAGCTTCTGGCAGAGTTCTAAAAATGAAATGATATCAGCAATACCCTCAAAAACCAGTTCACCCCGCCTTGGTTCATGCAGATTCCAAGGAACGTAAGTCTGAATGGTATTCAATCCCAATGCCTTTGCCCTCAACAATCTATCTTCCCAGTACTGAATTCAGAATAAGTGAGCTCCATAAATTAAAAACAGGCATTATAAAAATGCAAAAAAATATATATATATATCAGACAATAACCAAAAAAAAAAATCAGCATTANATTCAGAATAAGTGAGCTCCATAAATTAAAAACAGGCATTATAAAAATGCAAAAAAAAAAATATATATATATATATATATCAGACAATAACCAAAAAAAAAAATCAGCATTAGTCAATATAAAAAAACATATTTAGAGGATCCTAATGGGGAGTCTGAGGAGCAGAAACATGTACTTTTTCTATACGAGTATTGAGCAAATTAAGTTGTCTGCATCCTCATAGCAAAATTTCCTGGCGATTCATCATTGTTTCCCAAACCATAGGGATAATTATTCAATCTCCCAAACAATTTCTTTGTATAAACAAGACCCACTCCTACTATTGGTTCTCTCCATCAATCAAGATTCCGAAGAGCCAGAATGCCAGTCAAATATGCAGCAGTGTATGTCGCAGTACTTTTGTGACATACTACACATGAGATGTATGAACAATAGGCCATGTCCATTCCCACCAATATTTTGCAATCCAGCCTATCATNATCTCCCAAACAATTTCTTTGTATAAACAAGACCCACTCCTACTATTGGTTCTCTCCGTCAATCAAGATTCCGAAGAGCCAGAATGCCAGTCAAATATGCAGCAGTGTATGTCGCAGTACTTCTGTGACATACTACACATGAGATGTATGAACAATAGGCCATGTCCATTCCCACCAATATTTTGCAATCCAGCCTATCAGGACGACAACACATTAGCCAGGAAGAAAAAAGTACCTCAGGAATGATCCGGAAATAATGCAAGTCCCCGCCAACAATACGGAAAGGTTCACCATCTTTCCAAAACATGTCATCAGCAATCTTGAATTTCCGATCATCAACCTGAACAAAAACCCAAAAAGAACACCCACATATACAAAACTTAAAGAATCTTTGATAATATTCACATACATAATTGAAGATATTACACAAAAGATTAAAGAGCCGAGTCGAACAGACCTAGCAAAAGGGTCGAAACTGTGATAGTATACAACTTAGGGTTTATAAAGATATATCAAGAGTGAGGGAGAATGGCTTACTTTCTTCTTGAGGTGTGAATGGGAAGAGCGAGAGGAGAGGGAAGGGAGAGGAGCGATGGCAGGTGCAAGAACTCCGAATGCTACGAGGAAGAGCAAGCAGACGAAGATTGCTGTGCTGATGCTTCTTTTTCTGGCCATTGTTGACCACTGTATCGGTTCTACTCTCAGTCTCGCTGCACCAACACCAGTTCTTGCACCTGAGTTCTTTGGTCGCCAAGAGTACAGGCTACAGGCCTGGTACGCAAAATCCAGTAACCACCACGCACCTGGGTATCGTTGCTTGTCGAACGATGCCGAACAAGCCCTGTCTAAAAAATTATTTTAAGTTTAAATTATTTTGAGTCAAATCTGAGCCGATCTTAAATATTTACGCGTAAACGAATTAAAGTTTAGACTGAACTTTAAATCTGACTTGTTTAAAAAATAAGTCAAGTTTGAACGAATCAAATATAGNACTGAACTTTAAATTTGACTTATTTAAAAAATAAGTCAAGTTTGAACTAACCAAATATAATTTAATTTTATTAACGGTCCTAATTATGGGGCCATTAGTGGGATTAAGTTAAAAGTTTAAAAAGTGAATTACACTTTATATCCTAAAAAAAAAAATCAAAAATCTCAACTTTATACCCTTGAATATTAATTTTTTTATGTTATACCATTGTTATATTAAATATATTATAATATGTTCCTTTCTTTAGTTTTTGCTAGTAATTTTGTCAACGTTAATAGAGATATTTTTTATAAAATAAGTAACAAAAATTAACAAAGGGGTTGGATTATAATATTTTTAACATATTAAGGGTATAATATAAAAATAATAATTTTAAAATATATAAAATAAAAAATAAAATTCCCCAACACATTAATAAAACTTTCTCCCGATAGTTTTAAAATGAGTAATGCTAAATAGACTTAAAAAAGTAGGATTGATAATCATAATCATTAAATAGATAATGGATCCTTTTAAATGTTGTGATCTACAATAAAATTAATAGATAATTATTAAGGCTAGTTTTAAGTTCGTGTAACATTATTTTTTTAAAAATTATTCCAGCCGATAGCCAATATAAATTTAATAGTCCATAGTTACATCTTCAATGGGATTAAATTGTAATAAATTAGTATTTACAGTAGGCTCTTTATTTTTATTCAACTCTCTATTTTAAGAGAGTCAATTACCTAAATTTAACTTTTAGTAAGCTCTATATTTAGACTAGTTAAAATAGATGGCCTTATTTAACTTTTTACATTTTGAGAGTCAAACTCACTATCTATTTGATTATTGATCAATAACAAGGTGATACATATACATTTTTTTTTATTAAATTTGATTGAGCACAATACTATTTTTCTTTTATAATAAAGAGCTCATTAGAGTTGTTAAAATTATTTCAAAATTTTATGAAAAATTATCTCTAATTCAAAAAATATACTCTCTAAAATAGTGAAGTAATGTCGAAGATACTCTTTTAGCTAGATAAGAAATATGTGATTAATGATAAGATAAATACAATTCTAAATAGGAAATGAGAATNCTTATAACTTGTGAGAGTTATTATAGACTTTTAGTTATATAAGAAGTATGTGATTTTGATGAAAAGATAAATAAAATTCTAAATAAGAAATAAGAATTATATATTCAAAATTATAAATAATAACATCAATGGCCAAGTAGCTAAGTGATCTTGGATATGGAAAATACTATTTTGACTTGAGATTTAATTGAATACAATTACTGAATTAGAAGTGAACTCCATCTAGAATTTGTACTCATAATTAATATAATGACTATATCAAATTAAGTTCTTAATTAGATATTAAAATTAGGTCCTTCCCACCAAATACAAACTCAAGGAGTCATGGGCGGGCCCCCGGTCTTCATCCCGTTAGTTGGTGAGCAATAAGGTGATGAATTAAGGAGCCCATCACCAAGATCCTGCACCATACAATTATGGGGGCCTTGTTTATTGTCCACTGGGCCTTTATATGAGCTCATAGGCCCAACAAGGCCATTTTGGCGTCTCGACTCACGAACCAACAAAAAAAATTAGGTTTTTCTTTCTTTGCATCCTCAATAGTTTTTAAGATTTTTATTTTGTGTCTTTAAAAATTAAATTTTTTATATTTCATCTTTAATACATCAAAAGTATTACTATGTGACATTTTTTTTTGTCAAAAGTCAACCTATTTACATTAATGAAAAACTAACAAAAGGGTCACATTGCTATACTTTTGATATATTGAGGGTGCATTGAAGGCACAAAATGAAAATCTTAAAATCTTTCAAGGTGTAAAGTGCGAAATATAAAAAATTCAATCCTTAAAACAATACAAAATTGAGAATCTTAAAATATTTTAAGGTACAAAAGTATAATTGGCGCCAAAAGATATGGACCCATTCGGAAACCTGGGCATACCTTGGAGGTGTTGACCATACAGAAAGAATAGATAGCAGTGAAGGCATTGGATGGACCCTATATTTTGCCTTGTTATCCAGTGTTTATAACACAATGTCGTATCTAAAACGATGACAAAAGTCATACGACGTTGTAATTTCAAACATGAAAATTTAATCTCTTTTAAATAAGAACCAATAAAAACTATCTACAATATATTTCCTTGTATGGNCGAACATGAAAATTTAATCTCTTTTAAATAAGAACCAATAAAAACTATCTACAATATATTTCCTTGTATGGTAAGAGATTATACGAGGCCACGGGTTTATAAAATGCAATTACAAGGCATTCTTGCTTTCGGCTTTGTTTTGTAGACCTACACACATGAGCATGGTCCCCAATCATATCTCACTTCGAATTTCGAAACATTAACGGTAAAGTTCACATTTATAAGGACAGAAAAGAGAATACGATGAATTGTGAAGCACCAGTACGTTCTTAGGAATTCTTAGAGAGAGAGAGAGAGAGAGAGAGAGGACGTGTGAAAGATAAAAGGTGGTATTATTAACACAAAGGGAGCCATCATCATCTCTATTGTCTTTACTGGCTTGATAAGTCAACTTGTCTCTGCATTGGTACACGGAAAAGTTGGATACTGAAAAATTATAAAATTATTTTTTGATATTATGCTAAAATAGTATGGTTAATTATGAATTTATTAATTTGAGTTATGTGTAGTCTTTTGCAATGAAACTAATAAAATAAGCAGATTTTATAGTTGTGTTAGATAAATATATATATACACGTGTATGTATGTATTTTTATATATGTAATAGACAAACAAGGACTTGATCGAGAAGAAGAGAGGTAAGGTTACTTTCAGAGGAATCTTTTGTTAGTATTACTAATTTTCCATTTCCCTTTCTCAGAGACAAGTGAAAGGACAGGTGCCAATCTGCCAGAACCACTTTTGAAGCTACGCTCTACATCCACATTGACATAACATAGCAATATCAAACACAAGTATCCGATATCTGGTTTTTGTCTTCTTAAAATTTTAGTGAAACTACTTTTTTTCATGATATACCTTAACTAATTAACACTCTCTCTCTCTCTCTCTCTCTCTCTCTCTGTACCACACACACACACACACACTTGAATCAGGGTTTTGTTGTAATATAACATCAAGGAGCAACTCTACTGTTATCTAAGTAATCTTTCAGTTTTCATGTGAAATTCGTTAAATGGTACTAGTGATTAATGCTGTCATTTAAGTAATGCCTCTACACCAAAAACTTATCACTTCTATAGAGGTTAGACATTCGCTAGAACTGTTGATATGAAGGTGTGGCAATACAGTTCTCTTGTTAGTAGTTATTTTCTATAAAATATTGACACATATATGAAACTTTTTTTTTTTTTTTTGTTGGTTACGATGTTAAAATCAACAAGTGTTTGCAGGAGCTGAACTTGAAACCTCGTAATAATAACTCCTAAAACTTTTCCATCCAAATTATCCTTTTACCTTAACTAACAGTCTCTCTCTCTCTCCTATAGCACATGGCACTGATACACTGTAGAACCAGCAGGTTATCTTTTAATGTAACCATGGGATTAGACTTTGGTAACACCAAATATAGAACAGATCAAAACATGGGCCCTTACATATTGTACTGTGTACAGAGAAAAGCTTATGGGCATCAAACCGATCCTTCCTCGGGATTGAAACCCACTAGCACCCACATAAGGGGTCAGACAGCATCTCTTATTCTTTTTTTTTTTGTTTTTTGTTTTGCAAGTAAAACAGCAAATATATATATATCTAACCATGCTAGCTTGCTTGCACACCTATGCACATTTCACGAGTCTTCCCTCAAAGAATCCTATGCTATTGTACTTATCAACCCTATTTCCTTCACTTTACTGTAGGTATATACCTATCACATTCTTTTTTTTTTTTTAACGGATATTATCGCAGTACAACTCTACAAATCTATCGGTGACTGTGTGTGTGTTTGAGAGAGAGAGTTCCAAATAGGGTGTTTTGTGTATCTTAATGAGCTGTTTGATAATTTTTTATCCTCACATGTATGCTAAGATTATAGAGATGGGTTGTATAGATCATCCATTTGTTCTAGCTATTCTAATCTTCATGACCACCATCACCCAACAATACGTTTATGCTTATTCTAGTCCCAGTTCTTGAGAATGTTACTGTAAACTTGTCAAAAGCTATGCATTTCTCTTCTTTCTTTTTTTAAACTGCTCTAATTATGGATTGTTTGCACTCGTTACTATTTCGTAAAATTGTAATGCTATATATAATTACTCGTAAATTATATTCACTAAGTTAAGAAGAAGTTATTGACGATCTTAATTAATCTTAAAATGCCGAGATTCAAACTTACTGCATAAATTTCTAGGACGATGCAATCAATTTAGAAAGAAGGGCCATGAAAAAAATGTTACGCCACTCTGGAAAGGCCTCTAGGTTAATCCTTGACAGCACCAACAGATTAATAAAATCTAATTTGCATATGTTTTAATTACTTGTGTAAATATGAGCAGCCACCAAAATCCAACCCATTGAGCAAATAGGGATATAAAAGCAAGAACCATATCAGCAAGTTATATTTCCCTCATACTTTTTTTTTACCTTCTCATCATCAGTTAGTTCAAAATGCCCAAGCATATAATTACCATATAATTGTATTATCTGGTATGATCAACAAAAAAGACCAGGATTTACCTTGCAGGTTTTCTTATTACAGACAAGGAATCTCAATATAAACTTTCAAAAGGAAAGTAATTAACAAAGAACATCCTGTGAATATCTGACCAGTGGGGCTTATAGTTTTAGGGTTTCAAGAGTATCTTCCCTTCGGAAGACTGAACCAAAGGAGACAAGAAAGAAAGAACAAAACTAGAGCCGTAAGCAAAAAAAAAAAAAANTATAGTTTTAGGGTTTCAAGAGTATCTTCCCTTCGGAAGACTGAACCAAAGGAGACAAGAAAGAAAGAACAAAACTAGAGCCGTAAGCAAAAAAAAAAAAAAAGGTGCTTAAAAGCTAACCTTGCCATGATTTCTGGGTCTGATTCTGGTGCTCATTGCCCTCAGCGGAGATGTTCATGCAGTTACCAAGACCAGCCATACTCATAATGTCACTAGGAGAAAGCGGTCTTAGACCCAAGAAGTCTCTTGTCATACCATCATTTCCACCACCGNGGTGTTCATGCAGTCACCAAGACCAGCCATACTCATAATGTCACTATGAGAAAGCGGTCTTAGACCCAAGAAGTCTCTTGTCATACCATCATTTCCACCACCGCCATTACCAGCACCTTCATCAGACCTACTCAGATGATGGGTCGTTGTCTTTGAGAGAGTTTCATGGAAGTTGCTTTCTTCTTTTGGATTCAACATACCACCAAATGCATCTTCAAAGGTTGACCCATCAAACCCAGTTGCAGAGGAGAGAGAAACAACCATGTCTTGAAGAAGAGTAGGAGGTGGCCCTGTACCTTCTGTCATACCAGAAGGGGCTGCAGCTTTGTTCCCAAATGAAGTCAAGCCATGGACAAAACCTGTGGTCATCTGGTCACGTGAGGACAAATTCAAACCAAACCCACTTGTATTATTACCAGACTCTACAGTCACGTGAGCTTGGTGGGGTCTAAGCATGGCTGGTGATGAACTAGCTTTGCCGCTCATGGTTGCACCCATCTGAGCTGCTTTTTGCAGCAATGCAGTTGCAGACATATGTGGAGAGGTTGGTGGATGATAGTGTGGAAGGGTGGGTCCCAGAGTAGGATTAGGGTTTGGGTTTTGGTTTTGGTTCTCTTGGACTGCTAAGTCATGGGTCTGTGGAAATTCTCGATGATCTAATCTGCTAGAGAAGATTGAGGAGGTGAGGTCAATGGATGGTGGGCCAGGACCGGTTCCTATTATTGGTGGGCAAGCTAGCCATGGTGGTATCTCAGGCCTTAGACTAAAGTTTTGTTGCTCTTTTTTCATGGAGAAAGCATGGAATTCATGGCTGTTGAACTGTGGTTGAAGATGGAGGTTTATATGTGCTGTTGAAGTACCAGCTTGAGAGGAGAGAAGTGGATTCCCAGTGATTGCCCTTGCACTCTCTTCCGCTAGAGCATCACAGAAGGCTCTGTGAGTGATGAAACTATCCCTCCTGAATCCAAAAAGGACACACACAAGAAAACAAAAGCAAAACATCATAAAGAGCCAAGACAATGCAGAATAATTCTCTCTCTCCTGATCCTCTCTAAGCACATTTCACATAAATAAGTCCATATTTGCTCCTGTCATTTTAAAATTTGGCATACTAGTTATTAAATTTTGGCATACTTAGCATCTCTCTCTCTCTCCCTCCTCTGAGAGTAGGAGTTTGATGGTGCCATATAACGCAATTAATAACTTCACGAATCTGTTTTTTAGTTTTCTTCAATTGAGGACTTACAGAAAAGCATACAGACAAAGAAAAGAGAGAAAAAACAAGTTCTCACTACTCTGACCTTCATATCTACACGAGAATTTCTGACAATGGTGCTTTGAAGGCTCATGTTCATACACTTTTCCTAAACTGATTTTTGGTTAGTTACCTTGAGAAAAGGGTTCCACAGTCACATCTGTATTCTCTTGTGCCACAGGTCTTGGAGTGAGCTTTCCAATCTGATTGAACTGCATACCTCTTTGAGCATTTGTCACATTTCCACTTCTTCTCACCATGCTTTCTGCAAAAGTGCTTCTTGATTCCTGTGAGGTCCCCAAGAGCCCTTGATGGATCATGGTGCACACAATTGGGTTCTGGGCATACATACACCTTCTTCCTCACCTCTTTGCTTGTTCTCTGCTTGAGCTTCCATGGCAAATTATGCCCTCTTCTGTGAAGTTGAAGATTCTGATCTCTCTGAAACCCTTTGTTACAGATTTCACACACAAATCTGTTGGTTGCCATGAGAGTCTTGGGTGACAAAGCTATAACTTCTGCATCCGGGTCTGTCTCAAACAAAGAACAATCATAATCCTAATTATAAGTATTAAATTGGTGGATTAAACAGCAAACAAAAAAACCAATTAATAGAGTAGGTAGAGTTCAGATTATTATTTGAGACCTGGGTTTCCTGGTAGATTTCTCTTCTTCTTCACAGGTTGAGTTTGATTTGTTGGAGCAAAGTGCTGTTGTGGATAGTTGCTATCATTTTCAGCTCTGTTGCCTGAAGAAACACTTGCTTCACCAGATGCAGAAGTCAAATTAGACATGTTCTCCTCCGCAACTGGCAGATTTTGGATTATCAAACCTTTCATCATCTTCTATACATATCTGTATCAGCAGTGTATGATGATAGTTTTAGAATTAGTTGGGTTGGATCATGATTCATGAGGCATAGATCTTTAACTTTTATATCTGAAAAAGATATGTGAGATCCAATGGAGACAAACCCAAAACCTAGAAAAAGCTAAAGTAGGTGCAAACCGGATGCGGGTGTGTGCGCGCGGTTGTGTGTGTGCGCGGTTGTGTGTGTGTGTGTGTGTGTGTGTGTGTGAGAGAGAGAGAGAGAGAGAGAGAGNGTGAGATCCAATGGAGACAAACCCAAAACCTAGAAAAAGCTAAAGTAGGTGCAAACCGGATGCGGGTGTGTGTGCGCGGTTGTGTGTGTGTGTGTGTGTGAGAGAGAGAGAGAGAGAGAGTGGCAAAATTCTGTTTCTCAAAGGTCTTGTTTGAACCCCAAAACCTTTACCTGCCTCTCGAGTCTTGATGGTTTCTTCTCTCTTTTGTCTTTGGCATCACCCCAACAGACAATGTTTGTTTTTTGAAAAAACCAAAAAGAAAAGAGAGACAGAGAGAGCTAACTGAAACTGAACCAGAGCCTCCACCCACTATTCTTCTTTATGTTTCAGTGACCTTGCTTGCTATAAATCAAGAAAATCCAAGAATAACTACATGTATATGAGCAAATACATAGGACCTAGTTTGGATAACTTAGGGTGGGGAGAGAGGAAGAGAAGGAGGGAGTGAGACAGAGATATGAATGAGAAGGGATCCCTCTGGAGTCTGTAATCCTCCACCCGTCCAAGACCATACCCCAAGAACACAATCCTACGGCCAAGTCTGACGTGCCCTTTCTGTCTTTTCCTTTGTTGTTTACCCAACCCAGAAAAATCTCTTCCTTTCTTTATTGTATTTGCTTTCAACAAAGTTCAATTTTCTGCTAACACACTTTTGCTTAATCGCACTACCTTTCCCTTCTCTCATAAAGCATGTTAAAGAAAAGGAACCATGTAAAAAAAAAGTTTGTTTTGTTTATGTAGAGAGAGAGAGAGAGAGAGAGAGAGGGATGTTGATTTGTATATTGATTTTACATCTGGTGTAGTAGTCTAGTAGACCCTTCTCAGCCTTTTCTATACATTCACTGTTATATGATTGAGCAATTGATTTAGTACTAACAGGCTTGCTCATGGCTTTATCTTTTTTTTTTTTTTTCTCTTGCAATGTGTAGCTTCCTTTGTCATTTCATATCATAAATCTTACCTTTTAACCGTAAGCACAGCAGAAATTTCTGACGCTTTTGCTTTCAACTTGAAGTTAATTAAATATCACCACACCAGAAAATTGATCAACAAGGTGGCCCATTCCTTCAAGGCAAAATCACCTGTCTCCTCCCCCCCTCCCCTTTCAACATCATTTTTTTTACTGTTTCGGGGTAGTTAGATAATTTTATTCCGAATATATATATATATATACAGTATTATAGTCTAAACATTGGACTAATAGTCTAGAGANATCACCTGTCTCCTCCCCCCCTCCCCTTTCAAGATCATTTTTTTACTGTTTCGGGGTAGTTAGATAATTTTATTCCGAAAATATATATATATATATATACAGTATTATAGTCTAAACATTGGACTAATAGTCTAGAGAGGAGACCTGGGTTAGAGAAAAATAAGGCATTACGATATGGTCTCGACACAAAATAACAAGGTAGTTCAAAAATGATTTTACTTTGAGGAAGCCATTTTTGGAGTTTGGAGTAATAATAATNCTTAGTTATAGAACTCCATAAATAGTCTAGATTTAGATTGTCAATGAACCTTGTCCTATTTTGTGCTTCTAAGTCATCCAAAAGGTGTTCAATTTATACTCCATCCATCTATTGTTGTATGAAGTTGGATCAATTTATACTTGATCTTGCTCAACCTCGCTAATTATGCTTCGATTTCATAATGAGATTATAAGTCGTGTCTAAATTTAATAAGCCTAATCAAAATGTTATATGTATAGTCAAGAGCTTAACTAACCTTTCATATTCTTCCATGATTATGCCTCCAACCATCACAGGGTTGGACCAAGATTGTGTCATGTCAGGGTCGTGTTATTAACCGATCCAACTATAATTTGAATCTGCTAAGAATAAATTATATTTTAATTCAAGCTAATATGTATTAAAAATTATCAAATCCGAAATGCCATTGTATTGGGCTCATCCTAATAAACAGGATTCTTAGCCCAAAGTAGGAAGCCTAGTTGAATGACTGAATAGTCCATTGGTACATGCGCAAGGACTTCACGAGGGGGGACATATGAGAAAGGACAGCCCGGGCCCACCCCTAAATGATTGAGGAGTCACGGGACCTCCTAACTAAGCTGTAAATTACTGTNAAAATCCAATATTATAGGAAAATGGTATTAACCAATGTGTTGTTGGCATTATATTATTCTTGGTGGTGCTATAACTAAATGATTAATATTCATGTTAAGTGTCCCTACAAGCTAGATAGAGGGTTTCAAACAGATTGAGATAAATAATCATTTCTTGCTTTGTCATTTTCTTGTTTTTATTCTGCAATGATTTAGTTTTTGAAATGGCATGTTGCTCAACCCAAGTCTCAACATGCTCTCCCAGCTCATCTTCCCTTTAAAATAAACAAAATAAATATTTTTAAAATTAATTATTAATTAAACAAATGAACATAAAGTGTGAGGAAAGTTTCAATGTGCGATAGATATGGGCATTGTTTGTTTCCTATATGTATACCATATTCTAATTAGTATATATTTATTTTCATCCCACCATAATGGAATATGATTCAACAAGCCCAATCACATTATTAGGCTTCCAATTACGATTCTTTCCACGATGATCTCCATTACAAAGAAAAAAAAATACACCATAGAGATTTGAAGACTCACCTCAAGGTTATACTGAGCATGCTCTCAAGAAACTCTCTTTCCCGGGTCTAAGAAATATAATTAATTACCCTCACAATCCTGGAGACTAAATACTGTCGTCCCACGGGCAACAATGTTGGAAATAGTTACTCTATTCAAATAAAACACAATGCAAATTCGTTGGATGGTGCCTCATGAAAAACTTCAATCGTTTTTCTTTGTATTAAAAAATTTCTTTGTTTATCATTCATCCTCCCATTTTTTTTTCCCTTTTATCTATTTTGTTGGGTTTCTTCCAATTTTTTTGGTAAAAATGAGTGATGGTAGTCTATCTCAATAATAGAAATAGATAGCAAATAAGTGAATACTAAAACTCTTAGCTGAAAATTTTTTCAATTTTGTAACACGACACTTATATTAGTTGGAATAATAAGTGCATTTACTGAGATACATGTAATTTTGCAGTCTCCATAGTTATACAATTAACTTGTAACGAACATGAGTAAGACTTTGAACTGAATGAGAAGAGATCATAGTGAATCTGGTGGTGATCATGGTGTTCAATGGATTGCGACCTCCATGAATAGGACTTTGAGGAATTGATAAAAAGATGGCTATCGCATTATTTTGCTGGTTAGGCACCGCCGCCTTTGTAGAAAACTGAGCTGGTACACAACCTCATGTGGATGACTCTATGGCAAGAGAGCTAGACCAAGTGGACTCTCTTTATTACCGTATGAAATTTGAGGGTTTTTGGTCTTCTTTTAAGTCATTCATTTCGTAAATGCGTTGATCCGATACGATACAATTAATAAATGAATTGGGTATGTATGAAGTAATTAAAAGAAAATATACGACATAACTCGTTTATATACCGGTTATACACGACACGAACCTGACGTGACACAATTCATTAGATACAAATTAATAATCTAATTGAATATAATAAGTAAAATATTTTTTGACACGAATCTGCTAAAACCCGATTGACAGTCTTAGTTATAGAACTCCATAAATAGTCTAGATTTAGATTGTCAATGAACCTTGTCCTATTTTGTGCTTCTAAGTCATCCAAAAGGTGTTCAATTTATACTCCATCCATCTATTGTTGTATGAAGTTGGATCAATTTATACTTGATCTTGCTCAACCTCGCTAATTATGCTTCGATTTCATAATGAGATTATAAGTCGTGTCTAAATTTAATAAGCCTAATCAAAATGTTATATGTATAGCCAAGAGCTTAACTAACCTTTCATATTCTTCCATGATTATGCCTCCAACCATCACAGGGTTGGACCAAGATTGTGTCATGTCAGGGTCGTGTTATTAACCGATCCAACTATAATTTGAATCTGCTAAGAATAAATTATATTTTAATTCAAGCTAATATGTATTAAAAATTATCAAATCCGAAATGCCATTGTATTGGGCTCATCCTAATAAACAGGATTCTTAGCCCAAAGTAGGAAGCCTAGTTGAATGACTGAATAGTCCATTGGTACATGCGCAAGGACTTCACGAGGGGGGACATATGAGAAAGGACAGCCCGGGCCCACCCCTAAATGATTGAGGAGTCACGGGACCTCCTAACTAAGCTGTAAATTACTGTCCTACTTTATTATTTAGTTTTTTAAATCGACACGACTTGAAAATGGTATGATTTAAAATAATATGATATAAAAATTGTGATATGATACGATTAGATACTATTAATTCTATATTATTGGGTTGAATTGAGTTTCAAACTAGGACTTGATTAAGGTATTTAAAAAGATTTTTTGGTAACGTACCGACAAATTTTACTACTTTAATATTTATTTTTATCATTTTACATTATTTTTTTTTTAGTACCGTAAACAACTCCCTCAAAAAATTATTGCATGCAACCTATAATTTATAATATAAAATAGGACCGATTTCAATAAGTTCNAATGAGTGATGGTAGTCTATCTCAATAATAGAAATAGATAGCAAATAAGTGAATACTAAATCTCTGAGCTGAAAATTTTCTCAATTTTGTAACACGACACTTATATTAGTTGGAATAATAAGTGCATTTACTGAGATACATGTAATTTTGCAGTCTCCATAGTTANGGTTTCAATAAGTTCATCCGACTGTCTCAAGTAGACTCATCTA